TTTCGTGGACTACAGCCCACTTCTTCGGATGCATAGTGGGCAGTAGCCCACGAAAGCTTATGCTCTAATAAATTTGTTAGTCTCTAAGGTGCCACAAGTACTCCTGTTCTTTTTGCGGATACAGACTAACACGGCTGCTACTCTGAAACCTGAAATAATGGACAGGTATTTCTTAAGTAGGGCCCTTTGTGTTTCACAATTCCATGGATGCAGTATCCCCATGACAACTTCTGTATGCAGTTATATGCAATTATTACAGAAAACTTTGCATATTTAAAACTAAAATGTGGGAACACCATAAAATTGGTTTAGATTATATGCTGCTCTTTACTTACAGTTGCATTTCTAGTTAAATCAGTTTAGAATCTGATGTAATTGTCAGTGCAACTCTTTGTGTTATACTCTGAAATCAGTTTGAGTGTGGCTTATATTGCTTTAGCTTAAGTCCATACAAGAGGATTGCATCGATTTAACTACATCGGTTTCAAAATTGATTTAAATAAAACAGTACAACCTTTTTTGTGCATAAAATAAAGCATTAATGTAGGGCCTATATCCTTTGCCTGTAATGTCCTTAATTTGGGACCTGATCTGTAGTCCCAGATTCATGCAGACACCCACGTAAATATTTGCTTGTACAGATCAATTGCAGGATGAAGACCCTTGGCACAGGGATCTTTTAATGGATTTTCAACATCGCACTTAGGAGTGCTGTCATATAATTAGCAATTTGGAGCAACTAACATGTTTACAACTCATGAATGTTATAATTTTTGCCTTAACAGAATTGAAAACCAAGGGTAAGCGTACACAGTAAATGAAGCTGTAATTATAATGCAGGTAGGCATATCTGTGCTAGCTTTAATCTAGCTAGCACAGGTAATAATAGCAGTGAAGATGCAGTGGGACAGGCTTCAGCTCAGGCTAGCTGCCTCAGTACAAGCCTGCCAGGGACATATTCAGGGTATGTATGTAGCCTGTATGACAATCATTTGCTGTGTAGCGGTACCTGATAACAGAAAACAAGTCAATAATTAAAGTGAGACAGTAAGAGGTGCAGAACAAGTGCAGAGTCTGCAAGGGGGACAGGGCTAGTGACCTGAAGTCATATGGGACTCTCTGTGAACATCAGCACAGGAAGGCTCAGCACTTTTTGAGGCAAACTAGTGGGCCACGTCCATGTGATAAGAACTCAATGGCACAGCAGGACTGGGGACACAAAACCGTCATTTTTCAGAGTAGCAGCCGTGTTAGTCTGTATCAGCAAAAAGAACAGGAGTACTTGTGGCACCTTAGAGACTAACAAATGTATTTGAGCATAAGCTTTCGTGGGCTATTGCCCACTTCATCGGATGCATAAAATGGAACATACAGTAAGAAAATATTTATACATACAGAAAACATGAAAAGGTGGAAGTACCCATACCAACTGTAAGAGGCTAATTAATTAAGAGAAGCAATTATCAGCAGGGGAGAAAAACTTTTGAAGTGATAATCAAGATGGCCCATTTCGGACAGTTGACACAAAGATGTGAGGATATTTTAACATGGGGAAATAGATTCAATTAGTGTAATGACCGAGCCATTCCCAGTCTCTGATCAAACCTAAGTTAATGGTATTCAAGTTCAGCAGCTTCTCATTGGAGTCTATTTTTGAAGCTTTTCTGTTGCAAAATTGCCACCGTAACGTCTGTCACTGAGTGATTAGAGAGGTTGAAGTGGTCGCCTACTGGTTTTTGAATGTTATGATTCCTGATGTCAGATTTGTGTCCGTTTATTCTTTTGTGTAGAGACTGTCCGGTTTGGCCAATGTACCTGGCAGAGGGGCATTGCTGGGACATAATGGCATATATCACATTAGTAGATGTGCAGATGAACGAGTCCCTGATGGCGTGGCTGATGTGATTAGGTCCTATGATGGTGTCACTTGAATAGATATGTGGACAGAGTTGGCAGTGGGGTTTGTTGCAAGGATAGGTTCCTGGGTTGGTGTTTTTGTTGTATGGTGGTTGCTGGTGAGTATTTGCTTCAGGTTGGGGGGCTGTCTGTAAGCGAGGCCAGGTCGGTCTCCCAAGATCTGTGAGAGTGAGGGATCATCTTTCAGGATAGGTTGTCAAGACACCCAGGGGCAGAAACAACTTTTCAGCCCCCCGTGGGATCTGAGAGAGCTGGGCTGATGCAGAATAGGTGACAAGACTGCCCTTCGTGGGCTCCACTGCCTAATAGGGGATAAAAAACAACACACCTGGGCTTGGGGGGACCCTTTGGGAATTGGAGGGACCTGCTGTAGTCCCATGCGCGCTTCGCAGAGCTCTGGGTGACCCCTGTTTTGGGGGCTGTTAGGGACACGAGGTTCGGAGTATTTGGGGGGCTGCCTGAGGTCCTGGGGGCCCGAGTGTTGGGGTGCCGCTGGAGTGACAAGATGCCCGTGAGTGTCGGGCTTGTGGGATCACCGGCCCGCGATGAGGTCACTAGCGAGCTCCCGGAGGCTGGCGGGGCCTATGAGAAGCCGGCGGGCTGGGTGCGCGTGCGCGGAGGCCGCTACCGGGTGCGCGCCTCCGCCGCCCGCGTCGGGAACTGGGAGCGCGCGTCGCTGGCGGACTGTGCATCGCGGCCGGCGCGCTCCCGTGCGTGGCGGTGTCTCCTCGGCCGGCGGCGGGCGGGAGGGAAGGAGCGAGCGGTTGGTTTGTCGGGCTGGGCCACAGCCGTGTCGGCGAGAGCCTCGTAGCGAGTTGCCCCGCAGCCGGGACGGTAAGGGGGAGCCAGGCCGCTTGCAGCGTGGTCCCGCCCAGCGCCCACAGGTGAGCGGGGAGGGAGACCGGCCGGGCGGCCGCTGAGGGGAAGGGATCTCTCGCGGCGGCCTTCCCCTCCTCAGTCCCCGCCCGGGCGGCCCCCGCGGAAGGGTGGTGGGCGCCGCGCCCGGGAGAGGCCCCGTCCGAGCCCCAGGGGCGGGAGAGTCGCTGCGGCTGCAGAGGAGACTCGGGACAAGGCCCCGCCGCGGCCTAAGCCCAGCCTCGGCGCCCGGCTTCCTCTTCCCGGGAGTAGCCGGCCCGACGGGCCGCAGGCTCCGGCTGCGAGGGGCAAGGGGCGCCTCGGGCGCGGCGCTGAAGGACGGGGCTGGCCGGGGTCTCCCTTCCAGCGCCAGGCCCGAGTCTCCGTGGCTGGGGAAAGCGAGCCTGTGCTGGGGTCCGGGCGGCTGTCTGTGTGCCTGGGGAAGGCGAGCTCGCCTCTGTCGCCAGTCCGAGGCAGCCTGGAGCTCGCTTGATGGCTGCAGGCGAAGGGGTTTGTTTTGAAGCCCTGTGTGGGGCCCCGGGGCACGGTGGAGTCGCCGCTCCGCCTCCGGGGCTGCCCCTTTGTGAGCCCGGCCTCGTTGACTCGTGCGCTTTGTGTCTGTGTTGCGGGAGTGGGGCCGAGTTCGGAGCTCGCAGCCGGCATGGCGAAGGTCAGCAGGGCCGCAGCGTGTCTGGGAGCAAGAGGACTTGGGTGTGGGGGAGAGCTGCTAAGCCCCGTCTCAGGGGGTCTCAGTGAAACCAAAGGCTGGGGAGCCTCTGCCCCCTCCCATCACCCATTCCCCCATGGATCCCGCTCAGATGGGCTTCTGTGGAAGACAGGATACTGGACCAGTTGGGCCAATGATCTGATCCCGTATGGCACTTCCTGTGAGACCCAACGTTTCCATTCTCTTATCTCCCCTTCCTCCCCTGGGAGGAAGACAGGGGAGTTCTGCTTATCCCTTCCATCACTCTGCCCTTCCTCCCTATGGTCCCAGCAACCCAAAGCTGGAGCTCCGCTGCTTTACTCTTCCATTTCTCCTCACTTCTCTACAGTTTAAATTAGCACTAGTTTGCAGTGATATATTATTACTGTTAGTAGTAATGAACAAAATATAATCACTCATCAAACACAGGGGAAGAGAGTCTCCTCTTAGAGCAGTGTACAGAGTAAAAATACAAAAACGAAAGGTGGGAGGAAACAGTTCCTTTGCATAATAGGCAAATGTCTTATGAATTACTTTGTTGCTGTTTATTTAAAGATAAATATGCTAACCTACTCTTCCCACACCCTCCTTCCACAATCCAGTCCTCTCTACCAAATTCCCTGTTTTAGTGTATTTATCTCTTTCCTCGCATGAGCAGTTCACTCATGAGCTAAAAAGAACAGGAGTACTTGTGGCACCTTAGAGACTAACAAATTTATTTGAGCATAAGCTTTCGTGGGCTACAGCCCACTTCATCGGCTGCATAGAATGGAACATACAATAAGAATATATATATACACACATACATAGAAGATGCCATACCAGCTCTATGAGGCTAATTAATTGAGATGACCTATTATCAGCAGGAAAAAGACTTTTGTAGTGATAATTAAGATGGTCAATTACTGACAGTTGACAAGAGATGTAAGGATAGTTATCATAAGGAAATAGATTCAAGTATGTAATGACTCAGCCATTCCCAGTCTCTATTCAAGCCAGAGTTAATGGTATCTAATTTGCAAATCAATTCAAGCTCAGCAGTTTCTCCTTGGAGTCTGTTTTTGAAGTCTTTCTGTTGCAAAATTGTCACCTTCAGGTCTGTTACTGATCTCTCCGGCCACTCAGTAACAGAGGGTCTTAACTGGGTGCAGCCAAATAATCTCCCCAGCATATACTATATTACAACACAATCAGTAGAATACATGCCACACAAACAACACTGGGTAATCATATTTTCAGGTAATAGCGCAGGTTTACCTGACCTGCCATTCAATTAGCACACACTTCTCAGTGGCAAAAGAGCTTTTCATTCAATGATTTGGGGCATTTCATACCTTATTGAAATTTACCTATGGATATATTGTCAACATTTTTGAAGTGCTTTTAGTGTAAAACAAACAGCTTCAATGCCAAAATAGCACTGATACATAATTTGCTCTTTTACAGTGCCTTATCTGTAGTAACTCCTGAATTCTAATCCAGACTGTGCACTGATTTTCTGTATGGCTTTGGGCAAGTCATTTCAACTGCGTGCCTCATTACCATTATCTGTAAAATGGGGATTCTTAACCATCTCACTATGATGTTGTGAGGACTGGTTAATATTACTAAAGTGCTTTTATCATATAAAGAGCTAAATAAGCACAATTAACCCGGATACATGCACTTTGTTTTCTTGCAGTTGGTGATGTAGGTGGGGGAGGGGATGTATGTCTGTGGTGGTATCACAACATTCATCACAGTGCTGAGAATTGAATATGGAATTTCAAATTACTTTATTTCCCCAGTGAAAAATTGTTTAATGTGAAAACTGCAGAATCTAGCAAACTTTGTTTTTCTATATCTGGAATTGTATCAAACATTTATAATACTACATATTTCTGTGTAGTAAAACTGGTGCAAAATATATGTAAGCAAGTACATGTTAAAACAATAGTTGACCATTTCCTCCTTTTGTCTGTCTGACCTGAGGTCGCAATTCTGTATATTTTCCTGTATTAGTTGATGACCATGTGAATACACACAGCAAAGCAAGCAGAGTGCAGCACCTTGCATTACTTAAGCTTTTGGTGATGTCATCTGCTCTTGAAAGACAACAGAACTTTGAACTACAGTCTTTGGTGTTGGCAAGTATAAAGCCTTTCAGTTCACCTTTAAAGGTCTGCTCTGGCATTTATTGTGCATTATACTCAATGAATTTTATGATTATACAAGGGATCCTAAATCAGACCCTAATACTGCAGTATGTGACTGCGACTCATTTGAAAATCTGTTGGTTTAAGTGTTGGGTTTTGAACACGGTGTACTAAATTGTGGATATTCCTAAAGGGAAGAATGGCATTTACATACTGTTTATGATATATTTTCAAACAGCTGCATTCAGAAGAGGGGCTTCAGAATTACGAAGGAAATGTCCATGTTAAGTGTGATTAATGTACAGACTGTCTAGAGAGTTAAATGATTTTGATTTACAAAGATGATTTTTAAAACTTGCTATTGAATTGTAAAGGAGAAAAAAAACTTCAGAGTAAATTACTTAACGTAATTTCCTGTGGAAGGTGCCTCGCTTGATAATGTAGGTATGTTGAATTGCTTATCTTTATTGTTCCCATTTACTATAAATCAGAATCTTTGCTTCTGTATTTAGAGGAAGTTCTCTATTAGCTTTACTATGGTAAACTCCTTTTTTATAAATCTCATAATTTGCTGTAGGGTGAAACTTGATATAAGGTCTTGATTTGAAAGGGAATTTTAAAGTAAATTTATCAGCATTTGTATGCTTTGCCTGTTTTTATAGCTAAAAAATAGCATAACTTTTAAAGTGCAATGCTTAATCATTATTCTCTGTTAATAGATTAACATTTTGAAAAGGTAGAATAGTGAAGTTTGTAGTCTTTTACAAGTTATTGCCCACTGAGACACTGGGGGTGCAAAGTCCTGCAGGCTAAGGTCATTCAATCAGTGCAATGAACCTCAAATTAAATGTCTGCTTAGGCCTTAAGGTGGTAGATTGTCATAGCTTCATTGTGCCTTTCCTATTTAGCAAAACATTCTGGTTTATATTTTCCCCAGTGGTTGCAATTCTGAAATCGTTTGAAAAAACATGGCATTTGGAAAGTTTACAAAAATGAAGTTTTTAAAAAAGTGCTAATAAGAATAATCAGGAACAAACTAACACATGCAAATGTATTGTGGCGATGTTTTTCCATAGGTACACTTGAAATCTGATGTATAACTTGTTACTAAGGCCTTGGTCTTGCCATGAGTTCTGTGCGAGTGGAGCCCCATTAACTTCAGTGGAGATCTGCACAGGGATGCACAGGGGTATACCTGCATAGAATTCAATATAGGATTGGGGGCAGATTCCTTGTCTAAACACAAGTTGCATTAGTTTAAAATCAATTTAAAAGTCAGTTTTAGTTAAGCAAGTGCAACTTTCGTGTGTAGGCAGGGCCCTAATATTTTCTTTCTCCCCTCATCCTTAAAGTATGATTCTTTTCTGATCAGTAGCTGTAAAAATGGTGTCTTACTCAACAGTTTTGCTCTTTGAATGTATTCAGAGTCACACCTGCTTATTTTTAGTTACCAAAATATTATTTTAAAACTTTTTATTCCTTATAGCACTACAGACCCAACATAGGTGAGAGCTAGATTCTGTTCCTTCTTCTGCATCAACAGAATTGTTTAAGTGTTCCAAGTAGTAACAGACAGAACAAAGTCACCAAGCAAAATAAAATAAAACAGTGTTTTTCAATCTTTTTTCATTTGTGGACCCCTAAGCACTTCAAGTGGAGGTGCAGACCCCTTTGGAAATTTTAGACAATCTGTGGGCCCCCAAGGGTCTGCAGACAACAGGTTGAAAACCACTGTTCTGTGGTAACGGAAACCTTTTGTGGACCCCCTAGACATAGTCTGTTGACCTCATGTTGAAAACCGTGGGTTTCTAGCATTCTAATCACTTACATCTGTTCAACATTGATGGCAATGGGGTTACACAAAATGAATATCAGTTACACAGGTGTGACTGAGGGGATAGTCTGGCTGGCAGAACAGGTTGAGTTTGTAGGGCTGACAGAAGAAACATTGTTTTACTTGTAAAATGAGCATGTTTGGTACATGACTGATGCCATTTTCAGTCACTTTTGAGCGCAAAACTTCCAAGTAAGTTGTAATGTCCTTATAATTACAAAAAAAAAACAAAAAAAAACCTCTCCTCCCCCCCCCAACTGTTAAAACATCCTTCTAGGTTCCAAATTCAAGGACTCGGACGTTA